ATTTTACATTTTAAACACCAAAAAAATATACCAGCCAGCGCCTGCCACTGGAATCCTCGACAGCTCCAACTGTTTGTCCTGCGGCGCAGCAGAAGTGCAGGCGGAGCGGTAGGAGTGGTAGAGTGGTGATGTGATGTGGTGTGGTGTCACGGTATGGAGCGGTTGAGAGGATCCGGTAACAGGCCTCAGGTTCGCTTTCTGTTTGGCCTTTTCGGCACATAAATTGCCCAGTCCCAGACCCAGCACCAGCACCAGCACCAGGACTAGGCCCAGGCGGCCTACCCCTCCGACCATCATAGAATGGTTGTCCTGTCCCCTGTTGTTGGTTCTGTCTACCATTTAGCCGCAATTTTGTTTTTCCCCTTTTTTTGTGTGTGTGTGTGCCTCCTCTGTGTGTGCGTCTGTCCGTGCGTCTCTGCTGTGTGCGTATGTGCATGTTTTTTTGGGATGACTGTTGTTGCGTGTACGTATATGTTTTTGGATGACTGTTGTTGCGTATACGTACCGTATACGGTATGCACAACGGAAATGAATTGAAATTTTAAAACCCACAGCTGCGACCGCTTCCTGCGGCAAAAGTAGCACCAACCGACGACACTTCCCCAATATACACACACGCACACGAATACACACGCACACACATGCAGATGTACTGTACATACACACACATGTCTGTCTGTCTCATTTTCTCTCTCCATCTCTCTCTCTCTCTTGCTGTCTGTATGTCTGTCTCTTTCTCTGTGTCTGCCTGTGTCCCTTTCCGTCTGCTTCCCCCGTCCACTATAGGTGGAGGATATTTGTAAATGTATTCCAAAAAACCATTTTGTAATTTTTGTTGTTTGTTTTTTTTTTAGATATCAAAGAAAGGTGAGAGCAAAATAAAACTAAAATAAAAAAATATATAAATGGAATTAAATTATTCAAAAATATTAATATTTCATAAAAATAATAATTACATTTTACATTTGGCTCAAAAATATCTAAAACGGATAATTATAACAAATAATGCATATTTATTTGCTTAAAAAATTGTAGCCTATAAGGCTAGATTTTTCTTCAGTCTGGTAATAATTAATATAAATATATTCACCGGAAAAATATCTAAAAAAATGTAAATGAATATTTTTTTTGTGATTTTTAAATTTTTTCCAATATAACTACTAAAATCACGCGCATATTGATATGCAGTTTGAACTGTCTCTCTTTGTGTCTGTTAGCGAATGGGAAAATTTTTACAGCGATTCAATGTCAGGGAAACTTTTTTAAAGGCATTTTCCAGATTTTTTTCGCCCGTCGAAATACTTTTCGGGAATGCCGACAGAGATACAATTCATTTAAATAAAAGCGTATAGCAGATATTTATTTTATTGTATGTATATAAATAGTCCTATCTACAGATGTGTTCGTAGAAGTTGATACACTTGAACGCATTGCGTCTCCCCTTCCACATACTTACACATGTGGCATGATGTGTGTGTGTGTCTCTCTCTCTCTCACTGCTACACATGTAGCAGGTATTTAAAGCAATATTCGATTCTCAATTTTATTTAAAAACTCCCATGTATATGCAATAACGGTATCAACAATCTATCGCACGAGTACGAGTAGCTTTCCCTTTGCTCTCGCCCATCCGCCGACGACATTGATATCAAATGATGACACATCACAAAATGCCAGTCAAAAAAGAGGGAGCAGGATAGTGATATAAAGAGACAGAGAGGAAAGACTGCCGCTGTTGAAGGGTCGACGTCCGCTCTGTCCGTCCACCCATTCTCGTTTATTATTTCCGCTTGAAACTCGTCGAATTTGTGCCAAAAGAAAAATATATCCAAAAAATTGCTTGAATTTTATTATTTTTGTGAAATTCAATAACTTTTGCTATGAAAATAATAGTCTGATATCTTCAAAAGTTAGTTGTTAGAATGTGCATATGGACAGTTCCGCCAAAAGGTCAACCAGGCCAAAAATCATGAAAAGTCAATCAAAATCGATCTCCATATAATTTTTCGGGATAAGCTTTTCCTGTTATCTCCTAGGAAATATATGATTCTTGATAAATGTTTTTCTTTAAATTCTTTCCTACATATCGAACTACCTAAAAAAATTATCAGAACATTTGTCCAGCCTTGGCTAACAGTATATTTTTTGGCTTTTATTATTGCGGAGTTTGCTAATGTCACGCCAGTAACGTTCTTCAGATGACTCCGCGTACTTATAGCAAAAAAACAGAGCAGTTTTTTACATTTAATAACTTTGGAAATGAGCACTATATATTTCATATACATGCACCAAAAATTTGTATACAGATAGACCTACCCAATTCGCAGAGTTTTTTCCATTTTGTCTCCGAACTTCGAACTTGTAGGTCATATTTAGGCTTATATCTTTAAAACCGTATGCTCGATTATTGCCATTTTTTGGTGAATATACGACCAGCCAATTCATATTCATCAAGGATAATCTTTTTTGCCAAATTTCGGCTTTTCGACTATATTTCCAACATGTTGTCGTACGAATGTAACGTAACGCCAGATAGGAACTGCCCATATGTAGATTGTGATATTTATCCGCTAGAATCACTAACGTACCAAAAAGTCATCAAATGAAGCCATCACCACTTGACAAATATCAAATGAAAGAGTTCTTTACGTTCACTGTATGGAATGACAATAATGAAAGAATAAAGGTCATGTGTGATGCAATGGAATACTTTTTTGGTGGAGAAGCATTGGAAATCCCATTATTTTATCGCTGCAGTCATCTTATCCTTCTGCGAGACTGCGTCAAAACAAAGCAAAAAAACAGAACAATCCTTTATTTTTATGATTATTTTGTATTTTAATTATTTACATAAAAATGATGCTAAAAATGATTGATGGCTTTGACAGTCAGAGATAAAGACAGAAAGTAGGCAACCAAAAGCAAACCCAAATAAAGACAAGCAGTGGCGTTTGCACAAGAGGCGGAAACCCCTCTTCGATTTGCAATTTAAAAAATGTGTACCAGTCAATAAATAAAATAAACATATATCAATGTCAAGTGCTAAATTAATTTATTTGAAAAATGCAAAAATAAATGAATATTATAATCATATTTTCAGGATTTGCCCCCTTTTTAAATAAACCTGTCTACGCCATTCAGATTGCTGATGCTGATGATGGCGATGATGATGATGACAACATTGGCCCCACACACACACACACACACACAGAAAAATTACACATCTGTCTGAGTGTTTGTGTGTATAAATTGCAAATCAATAATAAAAAAAAAAGGAAACGAAACGATAAAAAAAATCCGAATATCGAACGAGGCTCACGCAAAAATCGTAAATAAATAAAAGGCGCAAAGTGACGCAAAGAGCGACACATAAAATGCACCGAAAATAGGTTGTGGTTGTGCTGGGAGTGGACGTGTGGACTAACATTGAATCGGCCCGGCCCGGCCCATTGTTTATTGTAGCGAGTATTTTGTGCATTTCGTGCCGAGCGCAGCGATAAAAATGCTGCTAAAGTATAAATTATGCCAATATATTGTAAGTTTTCCAAAATGCGCGAGAGCCCCCAACGACAGAAACAAAAACAGCAACAGCAACATTAGCCATCATTGAGACAAAAAAATAGACTTAAACAGATGCACGAGAGTTCACCGAAATCTTTTGAATATTCACAAAACTCTGATTAATCTGAAAATCAATTCTCATGCTCTATAATTTAAGTTCAACATTTACAGAGATACTATAATTTTTCAGCATTATTTAAGTAAATATGAAATACACACACAATAATAATTTGAATTAAGGAACCACAAAAGTATTCTTTTTTTGGGATAAGAATGATTATCCATTGTAATATTAATAATATAAATATTTAAAATTTATATTAATTTACATTTTTAAATTTAATATTTGATACATTTTATTTGGTTGAAATTGTGTATTCCAAGTAATTTTATTTTAAATTAATTTTAATTTTTCACCCATTTTTTGTGCTTCATAATTTAAGATCGAATTGCAAAGCAATAATTATTACTTAAATACAAATGAAATTAAATAATTAATGCAAACAAAAAAGTCCCGACTCTCTTTACATGTTCCAAAATGTGTTAGGGCAACCCTCGCCGCAACAATGGCCGGGAGACAATGTAGAAAAACCGATAAAAGGCTCTACTCCCCATTCACACATGCATGTACATACATATATAGAGATAAATCTGTATCAGTATGCGTGTGCATATTCGGGTCACGCTCAAAAAATGCGCATAATTGGCAAATTTAGAGTGAAATTGCTTGACAAATACACATCCGTACGTACATGCATACATATGTACATACCCATGTGTGTAAAATACTTTCAACGAAATATAGAACCATGAATAACGGGCATTAATGATGAAAGGCAGCTCTCATTTTAAGGTAAGCGAAATGAGCAAAAGACAAACAAAATGCATGCCAAAATCCTTTACAGGTTTACAGGAACAGGCAGAGGAAAATATCAATTATTTTTTATATGGATCCCAAAGTGAGTTAACCTCGATAAAAACCGCCTGACGTGTGTGCTACTGACTGCCACTGTAACTAGACGAACAGCAAGTTTAGCCGATCAGAGAACAATGTGCTGAAAATTCATTAGTGCGACAGAGAAAGCTTCTGCCCCTCCTATTGAATAAATCTGGCAACGCCAATAAGTAAGCAAAAGTTTAGACATGTAACACACCCCCCACTCCATGCCGTGGTCAGTGCTCAAGAAATTTTGCCCAACCAAAACTATGACTGGAAGTTGTAAAACAATTAGCCATGATATAACATCGGTTCGCTGACAGACGAGAAGATAACGGCACGACAGGCCAATATAAATCTCGGGTAGGAGATAAGATTGCCGCTTGTCCACTATTGATAGTTCCGAGTCCAGTTGGGGCATAGCCATAAATAATCGCATAATAGGGATTAGTGATAGCCCCTATATAAGGGGGTATCGCTGTTGGGCCCAGCCCAAGTTCGGTGCTGCGGTACAACATGGTAGCCACTCGTTTTGCTAATAGTTTGGCTCTGACCATCGCCGTCGTGGTCGGCTGCTGCCTGCTGCCAGCAGTTCAGTCGGCGCCCGGTTGGATCAACGGCCGTGTGGTGGGCGGCGAAGAGGCCGCCATCGGCCAGTTTCCGCATCAGGTGTCGCTGCGTAACGGCGGCTCCCACAGCTGCGGTGGATCCATCCTGTCGCGCAACTACATCCTGACCGCTGCCCACTGTGTGACGAACGACGAGAACGGTGTCCATGTACCGATCGCGGCCAGCCGCTTCACGATCCGTGCGGGCACCACCGATCGCTTCAGTGGCGGCGTCCTCGTCCAGGTGGTGGAGGTCATTGTTCATGAGAATTACGGCGATTTCATCAACGACATCGCCTTGCTCCGACTGGAGTCGCCGCTCTTCTACTCCGACAGCATCAAGGCCATCGATCTGCCCACGGTCAATACGCCCGCCGATGTCGATATCATCATTTCGGGCTGGGGTCGCATCAAGCATCAGGGCGATCTGCCCCGTTACCTGCAGTACAACACCCTCAAGTCCATAACCGTTGAGCAGTGCGGACAACTCATCGACTTTGGGGTGGAGAGCGAGCTCTGCCTGTTGCACCCGGCCGATAATGGTGCCTGCAATGGCGACTCTGGCGGTCCGGCCGTCTACAACAACCAGGTTGTGGGCATCGCTGGCTTTGTGGTCGGTGGATGTGGCAGCACCTATCCCGATGGCTATGCCAGGGTTTACTCTTTCAATGACTGGATCAGGCAGCACTCGGATGTTTAAAACTACATTTTTTTTTAAATTATTTTGTTGTTAAAAATAAAGAAAAACATCCGCGAAAACTGTGACAAAATATATCCAACGATGTGTTGATTATCCTGTAAATGCTGATCTATAATTGAGTGCTATGTTTGTATTGGCATAGACGCTGCTGCCCGATGCTCAAGTGCAAATCAAAGTGCTAATTTTAAACGAGAGAGATGCCGCGCTGTCGCTGCTGAAAGTGTCGCCACTGACACCTGAAAGACAATAGAGCGACAGAACGACGTTAACGGACTGTGAAACGATTCATGATAAATCTATTAGCTTTTCCACAACTGCATTGTTTTCAGAGAGTGAGAGAGAGCGGCAGGGCAAGCAGCAGCAGCAACAGGCAGTGAGAGACAATTGACGGCGCGGCGCGTCTGACTGCTTCTGCTGGGCTGAAGAGACAATTAGTGGACATGCGATGACGTTCGAGGGGGAAGGGGTAAGGGCAAAGAGAGAAGAAAAGAAAAGAATTCACTTTGGCTATTTGTTTGTGTGTGTTTGTTGGTTTTGTGTCTGTGCTGTGTGAAGGACTGTGTCGGCGGTAACTTTTTAATTTAATCAAAACGAAGCGAATGCAAAAGAAACAAAAAGAAAACGAGAGATTGAGCGTGGGAAAAGGATAAATGCAGACAGCAGAAATAGCAGCAGAGAGAGAAATTCAGGCAAGAATGGAGAAGCAAAAGAAGCAGGAGAAGCACCGACAGCGACAGCGACAGCTCCAGCATATCAAGATTCGCACTTAATTATTGACAGTGGCAGGCCGGATGCTTGAGGAATTCTCTCTCTCCCTATCCCTCTCTCTCTCTCTCTCTCACTCTCTTGCTTTGCTTTCTCTGCCCCTTTGGCACATTGAACAATGCTGCGGTCAGAGTGCGGCGTTGGACGGTGACTGGTGTTTGCGGGCGGGGCCGGGGCGGTTGTATGGTGTGAGGCTCTAGACATTTAAATTATGCACAGCGTTTGGTTAGTGCAAGGTGTACCGTGAAGTAGGGTGAGGTGGGGTGAAGTTGAAGGGTGTGCTCCCATTCTAGTCTTATATTTTGTTGTGTGTGAGTGAACGGTAAAGCAGTTTTATGTGCCAGATATTAAGTACCTCTCCCTCACCCTGTCTAAATATACAGCTTGCATGGTGTGCTGCTCAATCAAGCGTATTTAATTGCAACAATAATGCAAACACTTCGAAAGAGAGGTGGAATGTGGCAGTGCAAAAGTGACCGATGCTGCTGGTCAGCCGCCACCGCTTGCTTCCGCTCTTCATGCTATTCCTCTCCTCAAACTGCACTGTACCGCAATTCCAAGCTACTTACTCTTCTCATCAAACTGCTGCGCTCGGCCACTCTCTCACTTTAAGCTGCTCTCCTCAGTCGGCATCTACTCTGCCGCTGCCTCTGCCTCTGCCTTAAAGTCAAAACTTTCGGTAATATGCAAAAATTATTCGGACTTGAAAGTTGCCTCGGCCGCTGCCGCTGCTGCTGCTACTGCCGCTGCCATTTGCTTTTTGGATTTATCTTTCATCTTTGGCAAAGTGTTTCACAACTATTTCACTGCACTTGAGAGAGTGCAATGCGGTTGGCAGGGCGAATAGAGGGAAGGACAGAGAGAGAGAGAGAGCACCAGTACCAGTAACTGCAAAGAGAGTTACGCTGAGTTGGGTAAAAATCCTTCGAACAGAACTCCCGTTACCGTTGCGCTGTTATCGAATTAAATACATACATATGTATGTACATGCATACATACTTATGTATGTATGTATGTATGTATGTATATGTGTTGCAATGAAGCAGCGCAGTCAACGGCATAGCCACAGGGCGATCAATGTGCAAATTTATGGAGCGAAAGACGAGACCAAGAGAGGGCGCTGGCGCATAGGTGGATAGGTGGAGAGAGAAAGAGAGAGAGACGGGCAAGGCAACAATTTTGGCAGCAGAGCACGTGAATTGAGTCCAAAATTTTGCGCACTTGTGCAATGATAGCGCTAGTGCCACTCCCCCCGCCCCCGCCCCACAAAAGTCAACCCACTAGAAGCAGCAGCAGCAGCAGACCCCGAACCAGGCGGCAGTCCCAGACCCCAGACAGAGTCCCAGTGCCAGTCGCAGTGCCACAGTCCCTGTTCCCGTATCCGTACCACTCGCAGCACCCGACTCCAGACCAAGACCATCGCCAGGTAAACCATGTACTACACTGACAGAAAAACCAGTGCATGCTGTAAATATTTATATCCAAGAACAAAAGTTCTTTGAATATGCCGTGAAAATTTCCCATTGGCAAATATTAATTCGAAGCTAAATCCACGAGCTCCTTTTTAACCCATTGAAATTGACATATTCTTGTCACAGTGCATCAAAATGCATTGATATATGTGGCCGCTTTTATATGCACATAGAAGGGTGAAGGGTAAGGGTGTCGTTGGCCATGCTGGGCTGGAGCTGAGCAGCTGAAGGTGGGCGGCAACGTTGGCTATTTGGCGCTGCTGATAGCCAGAAATATTAGTCATTGCCTTTAAGTTTTTTGGGCTCTTGATTAATGCAACGAGCATGGCTACGGGATTTGCTTTAAGTTGGAACACCAAAAGAAGTTGCATTTTTGGTTTGGTTACCTTTGAAAAAAAAAAGTGCAAAGAAATGTATATTAAAAGGGAAATACCCCCCACCCTATTACTGGATAGTCTTAACTTTTATTATGCTGCAGAACGTGGCTGAAGAGCGTAGAGAACAATTTAGGACCGAATATGACCAGACTGGGAGAGAGAACCAGCTTGAGAGGTAACTTCATCTGGTTTTTTGGGTACCACAAATTTAAGTTTTTTGTTTGTTTTTTGTTGTTGTTGTTGCTTTAACATAATCCATCTTGCTGCTGCCCAGACAGAAACCCACTAACAAACAGATGCAATCGAATCAATTCCCCGCAATATCAAAACATGACAACTCATTAGATCCACAAAAGTTAATTGAAGCATCATCATTGTCATCATCATCAGCCGTACGGGCACGGAGCTCTGGCAAACCGAATGCAATCCCATGGAGAGAATGGCCAAAAAGTTATTGAACTGTTGCCATTACGCTTCAATTGATTGTGGAGTGGTGTTGGGTGTGGGGTGGGCCTGGGTGTGGGGTGTGGGGTGTGGAGTGTGGTTCGATGGGGCTCGGCGGTGGCTCTCGATGGGATATCATAAGGTGGGAGTACTGAGCCCGGGCCATTTTGGGCCGTCCCCTCTCCTGACTGACTGGCCAATTATGGCGACAACGACGACGATGGCCGCTCTGAGAGTTTGAGTTTCGCCTTCCTTATCGCCAGTGCACATTGCTCATGTCCATGTCCACGTTAGCGACGCCTCGCGACTCGCGACATTTGCCAAAAAGGGATCCCCCCCCCCCTCCCTACGCGACGGCAGCTCATGTCATGCCCAAAAGTGCGATAACGGAGCATCAACCCCACCCGTCCACCCGTCCATCGTCCCTCGACCAGACGGAGAGCAAACCGAGACGGCAGCCGGAGTGCATCTGCCACGTGCAGCACTTGATTTAGTTGCGGCAAGGAGTCAACGACATACGACCACAGACCACGGCATCGGCCAATTGAAATTAACATTGGATTGGTCGGCGGGGAGGTCATCCAACCTCAAAGCGGAGCACCAGACAGGCAGCGAGAGACCCCCCCACCCAGCTTCAGCGTTCAGCTTCTGACAAACATTTCACTTTCTCAGACTCTATGGGGGAGTCCTCCTTGAAGGCTTACCTCACGAATACCAATGTCCCCTCGCGAGCATAAAAATACAAACTACTTTTGTATTGCCCATACCCTGTCCTGTGTGTAACAGGGGGTGGGGTGGGGGGAGGGGAAAATGAAATTAATTTCCATTTCGTAAAGTTAATGGATTTTACTTGTTGTCTGTCAGCGCTAAAGGATGGTGCGGGGGAAACGGTAACCCCATGATCAGACCTTGGCAAATGCAACGCCCAAAGAGCGTTGCATTTATATTGCTTACTGGTTTGATAGATTACCGTCATATTTGTGCCTGATTGGAATATAATTGGCAAGCTACAGATGCCAATAAATATTAAAAGTTTTAAGCAAAGAACTTTATCAATTTGGACGAGGCGGAGTGGACCTCAATGGATAAGAAAACATTGTAGGCAGCATCGCAGCAGATTCCACTGACCAGCCTGCTGCCAGTTACATTTGCCATTTCGGCACTACCCAAGAAAGGGAAGCATTCCTTTAGTCCGAGGGATTCCAAAAACTTTTATAATCGAGTAACGATTTCAATCCTTAACTAAATGTGAAAGCCAACAATTTGGCTTAGCTATCAATTCATTTATGTATATGTATTTTCACATATGTATGTATGCGTATACATATATTTTTTTTTGGATTTCCTTTTCTCACAATTTTATTTGTGAAATTAATTAATTCAATAAAAGGGGAAATATGCAATTTATAGAAGCCATAAATCTGCCCATACACATTCTGGCATAGTGGCAGTGGTCTAACGTAGAAGTGGTACGTGAAGCTGTACAGGCAAGGGCTGGGAGGGTTGGTAGCTGCACATGGGGAGCAAGAGACACTCGAACTCGGGCTGGAACCGAGCCGAACCCTGCCCCGCCTTGCCCTGCCTTGCCTTGCACTTGGCCAATATGTCTGTGCATAATTTATGCTGCATCTTTTAAATATGTTGGACATTTCCCAATGTTCAATTGGAACTATAAAATAGAAGTAATAGAATTTCCACACAATCTTCTGAAGTCCTTTGTTTGATGATATGTATATGGTTAAGGGAGCTGCTGTCCAATAGTAAAATCATTTAATTATGAAGAAACTACAATGGGATTGTTTATCTGTGACTTTGCAAAAGGATTTTGAAATATATAAATACTTAATATTTCATTATTAAATATATATTTTTTCTTTTCAGTTTGTGACATTAACAAACACCGTCAGAAAATTCAGCGAAAGTTGCCTTCTCGTTATCTCTTTGACGTTTTCTTTTGATTGTGACTTTGTGTACACTTGTTTGTTTTATATAACTCTTTGCACATATATTACACTATTGAACTATTTAATAAAAACTCTGCAAATATTTGATATGTATTGATAATGCACTCCCCTCCATTTGCTTTCATCTCTCATAACTTACGCTCGACTCGCTGGCTTTTTTTCCAACGCGATGCACACTTGATCAGCCCAAAATGAATATTTCTACTCCAATATTCATCGATCCATCCACGTGCGCAACACTTTTACTCTCCCCCCTTTTGCTACACTTTTGCTCACTCCATCGAATTCCCAAAGATAAGTTCTGCTCTCGCTCTTTTTCGTGAAGCGACGCACTCTGTGCGAGTAAGACGCATAGACGATGGAAATATATACCATTTAAGACTAGTCGAACGATTAAACCTTCAGGACGCTATTTAAAGGGAGGATTTTCCTAGAGCCTGGCTTTTCAACAGCATTCTCCCCACTAAGCGCTGATCCCGGCCTGTCCCTGAACTGCCAGTTCAAGCCAGTTTAGCTTAGTAGGCCGTGTGGTCCAATGGATAAGGCGTCGGACTTCGGATTCGAAGACTGCAGGTTCTCGAGTCCTATGTCACGGTCGTTTTTTGCTGTTGCATGCCATGCACATTATTTTATTTTATAACTAACCAAACCGATAAAAGGAATAGGTATCCTAGAAGGTTCTCTATTCTCAATGCATCCTCCTCCTCCACCAATGGTTAATACAACTTCATTGAATCTATTTTCTATTGCTTTAATTGGTGCTACGATTTGTCAGGTTTTCCTTTCTCTATAGGAGAGGGAACAGTTGAAGAAAATCAGCTTAAGTAAATATTTTATCTCCTTGTCGTAGCTCTCGAAAATTAATCCCGGTACACATTAATTTGTACAGCAGTCGTGTCCGATTTTCTAATGAATCTAATTTCAATGTTTTTATCATGTGTCGTATGGAATCAGTTTAAAATATTCAGCACACAGTGACATTCGTGTTATGAGTAAATTATAATAAAATAGATTTCTTAATAGTTATATTATTCGCATTTAATAGCTAGCATTTTGAGTACTTCTATCGCAGATGGAAATAAAAGTGCCATAAAAATCAAAAGTGTCGCCCATCTCCTGTTGAAAGATTTAGGGTTTTCGTTTTCCATGTGTGGTTCTGGGCTCGTTTGCAGGCTGCTCGCTCTTCTGTTGCTGGCGGGTATTCCATTTGTTTTAACATTTTGAAATGAATTGTTGTTGAATTGTTGATTCATCTGCGTCCATTTTGGGTTGCTCTCTGCGAGCACTCCAATGTAAGACTATGTTGCATTTGCAATCGCCTCCCACTGGCTTCTGTTTGGGAAGCTGGTACCGGGTCGGTTTAGTTGCTTAGTTGGAAGCAGCAGCAGCAGCAGCAGCAGCAGCAGCTCCTTTCCCCCCCAGTGCGTGCCAGCAAAACCAAATGACTGATGGCTGGTTAATTGTCTGGCCATAGCTTTTGTTCGTTCGTTTTTTTCCCTTGGTTTCTTTTTTTTTTGTGTGTGTATTTTGTGTGTTTGTTGCACTCCTGCTGCTGACGCTTGAAACATTAGACTTAGACGTGGCACAGATACGAGGCTGTAACTGCAGCTGAAGATGAAGCCCGAACCAACAACGGCAACAGCAACAACATCAAAGACAATGCACACACATTGCACCACATGACGATGAAGGAAGGGCGCTGCTGAAGGCTTGTGCTGCTGCTGCTGCTGCCAGTGGTAAGGTATGGTAGGGGGTCAGGCTGCCACAAGGAGTACGATTTCAGAGATTTTACAGAAGAAATTTCGAGTTATGCAGGCAGAATAGACACTACACAATAAATGCATAAATATTTATATATTTGGCTATTTTCTAGGCATTAGTCTAGCGGATTCAAAAAAGAAAACATTTCGGTTCTAGACAATATAAATCTATTCTGTGTTAAGCAAAACAATACTCTAATATTTCCTAATTCTTAGTTCCCGATGAAGAATTAAGAAAGGATTTAATTTTCACAGGATCTTTACTTTACTCTTGGCTAGAACTTACAAATAAAATATACAGATTTCGAAATTGATTAATTTAAAATTACCGAAATAAATATAAATATTTTTGCACTGTAAAATAAACTAAATTTTAACTCAAGATCAAGATTAAGATTAATTAAGATTCATTGGCTTTAAATCGCGTAGGTAGGGTATATTCCAGATCGACTTTGCTTAGGATTTTTTTGTAGAACTTTTCTCCTCTGTGGGTTATTTGTACTTTTTGTTGGCCACTCGGCTTCACTTGGATATTTTCCTGCTTTTGCATGTTTTTTCTGGTGTTGTTGTTGTGCTTTCATGTTTGTTGGTTTCATGCGTGCTGAAGCGAGAGGGTATTGGGGTGGGGGGGGGAGGTGGCAGATAGTGGAGAGAAAGAGAGTTTCGGGAAACAAATGGCAAGAAAACACCGCATGGCGATGATTGTGATGACGACGATGTTTTCATTGTTTTGTTACGCTCGCTTTTCATACAAAACTAGCCCCGACCGAGCAGCAGTCGAAGAGGGAGACTCCTCAACTCCAACCGGTACCCGGTACCCTCTCCAGACCATCGAGCAGCTGCCAGCTACAATATTTTACTGACTGTTTGCTGGCTTTTCTTTGCAATTTTGATGCTATTGCTGAACACAAAAAAAGAAAACCAGAAAGAGAAAACAAGAAAGGCGCAGAGCAAAGAGACTTTCTCAGCGTTTGAGCCTCGAAGTTTTGAATACTCTGAGGAATTTCTGCTCATAGATAATTATTCTTAAGCTTATAGCTATGAGATATGATATAGGTGGGTGTGCAGGGTATACGAAATTATATTATGTAGATTTTTGCAGCATGTTGGGCAATGATCACACGTCTGAGACGTTGATACAGTAATGGAATAGAAACCCTAGAGTTTCGATGCACGTTCCATAAATATATAAAAATAGCAGCCAAATATGAGTTTAAGAAATCAATTCTGTGATGAATCATTCCCCATATCTTGCAGTGCATCCTCTTAGCTCTGAAACTCTCGCCAAGAAGTGTATCTAAAACAAGCGAGTGGAGAGCCATGGGAAAATAGAAAGAGTCGTCGTTGGAGTGGAAGCTCTTCGGGGAGGGAGGCTTTTCGAACAGGAACAGCAGGAAGCTGGGTGGCTAGATCTGGGGCCTGAGTCCTGGCTAGAGGCCTGGCAGGGGGGGGGGGGGGAGGCAGGGGAATAGTCCTGGCAATAACGATGACTGGAAACGATGGCAGCAGCAGCAGCAGCAGTAGCAACAACAATTTTTCAAGCACTTCCGAATGTTGCAATAGAAATCTGCATTTTTAATTTGTATGTGTGTGTGTGTATGTGTGTGTGAGTATGTGCATGTGTGTGTGCGAGTGTATTTTTCTGTTGATTTCTTCTCTTTCTGCTTCATTTTGTTGTTGTTTTGTTTGTATTTGTATTTGTATTCTTGTGCTTGGATTTTGAAACCACGACTTTGTGCCTATCCCCTGTCCCCTGTCCTGTCTGTCCAGCGCAAGCCATGCCAGGATATGTGTGTGTGTGTGTGTGTGTGTGTGTGTGTGTGTGTGTGCATAGGCCATGCATATGCAGCTGTATGTGTGCGTGTGTGTGCTCTCTCTCTATTTCTCTGTCTCGCACGCTATGCGTGTGTTCTTGTTGGGACGGCGTCCCAGTTCTTGTAATGTTTGATTTTCTTGTTGTTGCCACGAGATGCTGCGCCATGTTGTTTGTAACTTCCTCATACGCTGCACATGGCCCCACTCCTCTCCGCACACTTCCCTGCTTTCAGTCAACCTCTCTTGAAATCTGCCCCTGAACTATCCAGCCCCTCCCCCTGCCCACTAAGTCCATTTTGGGGGTAAAGTTTTTGGTTGGAAATATTTGGGAATTCCTTGGCTAAGTTTCGAGTTTGGTTTTACCATGAAGCACACACTCCTGAGTGTGTAAGGGCTAGGGTTAGGGTATCTTAAGGCGTTTAAATGGGCATCATTCATGAATCATAATCCAATATCAGTCGTAAATGAATGCCTCACTTAATATGCCATAAAATCTCTCTTTATTAGACATTAAATAATGATTTTTCGAGTACTTAATAGTGAAGAAAACATTATTTACGTTTAATAAATTTCAATTTAAGCTGATTTAATATTTACATTTTTGTTTTATTAATTATTAATATTATTAAAATTATTATATTATATTATAATATATTTTAATAATTAATATTTTTATTTCAATTTTTTTTTATTAATTTCTGCATTATTTTTACTGTGTTCTCAAGAATTCTTGCATTTTATTATAAAATTTAAAAATACATGTCTCTGCCCCAATGATTCCTGTCATTGGAATATTCAATGATACATTAAATACACGCGTGACAATTCAATCATTCAATGGTAGCATCAGAAATGAATGCCACTAAATGGATCTTCATTTTTTCTGGTTAAGTCATCAGGTTTTTCCCTTCTCCGTTCATAGTTAATCCCCTTCGACTCGTCGTTTGGGTACATGTAGTTTTTGGCTTCAAGTTTATTTTGTCTTTCGTTTTGGTTTGTTTTTTGAGAATTTCTTTTCATTTATTTGGGGTCTCCGCAGTTGGTGGTGCGTGTGTGGTTGGGTCTGGGTTTGGGAAGTCGGACGTGGGTGTATAGCATTTGATTGTGATATGCACACAGAAGCGGATTATTCTTGACTGTTTAGCAGCATCATTTATGACATGCAACAATAACAGTTACACTGGCTGTGGCTGTGGCTGTGGCAGTAGCAGAAACAGCAGCAGGAGCTCTGTTTTCAGCTGAAGCTGTGGGAGAGCCATCATCAGTGAGTGGGGAAAAGAAGGCCAAGTCAGTGGATGCCTGGAGGGATGGGAATAGGGAGGCAACCTCAAGCTTGTCGGTGAAGAAAATGCAATTTCGGTTAGTGGCCACAATTTTGTTGTTAGAATTTTTAACCCAAGTATTTTGTATTGTCTCGCTTCATGCACCATGCAGCATGCAGCATGCACCATGCATTGTAGTTACATTATGCTTACATATTTTGTACGAATGTGCCATGCTCCTTGCTCCAGCTCCTGCTCCTACCACTCGACTGCAATCCACTAAAACCTAAAACCGAAACTCTAACCAACATTTTCGAATTGAATTGGTTCTCTCTCTCGCTCGCTCGCCCGCTCTCTCTCTGCTTTTGCGTGTGGAATTTCAGCCACTAAAGCTGCTTAAGTTATTAGTTATTGTTATCAATAATATATGTATGTACACGTACATATATAAATATACATACATATGTACACGTATCTATGGGGTTTTGTGCATATTTCTATTATTGGCCATTTGTGTTGAATAAATTTAATTGTAGTTCGATCATAAATTATTATACAGAAATGTCTGTGGATATAAATTTGAATTGAATTCTAATTGGGCGGCAAATTTTTGGCATAATTAATTGCCAAATATGCGAGTAAATTGTTGATTATCAATTTTTTTTCCATTGATCGGTTTTTGGTTTCGATAATGGCTTAACCAACACTGGCAGAAAGACATGACAAGTCAATTGAAAATTGTGTACATAAAGTGTTTCGAAAGATGATGGCAGATAGTTTTGAATGCTGCATAGATTTTTGCTCAGTGTTGCTCAGCACTGTTAACACAGCACTTTTCAACACTGTTTTGGCAATCTATCGATTGTGTTGTATAAATTTCATTGCATGATAATGCCATGACTTACTTCAGTTGGCTTGATTACGAAGGAGAACTATGTATGTGAATTTTCGGATCCATTTTGATGCACAATAAAAATCTTAGCCAACACTGTTTTGCATACCTAGAACGTAGAATAAATATGTGGAATTTGTGCTGGTACTTAAAATTGATTCAACAACAAAAATGCATGCAATGGAGAACACTGGGAGCTGCACAAAATATCATTAGCTTTATCCAGCCATGTATCTTGAGCACATGCCATCGATATATGTATAGTCGCTGACGCCGCTTGGTCAACTAACTTTAAAGAGATTTTTTATGGTTTCACTTAGCCGAAAATCGTTAATAGGAAGTCGAAGTATTTTCCCCCAGCTCTTTCATCAATTTTTAAGTGCTTTACTTGAAGAGGGAGGCGGAGCACAGCATCCATGGTAGTCCATGGCAGCAGCAATTCAGGTGCACAGGACAGCGCAAGAGGAATAGCCATGAAATGAGACAGAGACAGCAAAAGAGACAGAGAGAGGGAGGGAGGGAGAGACAGCCAGACAGACAGACAGACAGACAGACAGAGAGAGAGAGAGAGATATAGAGAAGACATCGATCCAACAGGCGACGTCGGCACTTTTGGACCACTTGGCCGGCAATTGGACCATTTTGGTGAGCGCTTCACAGCCTTCAAGTTGGACCCCCCCCCCACCCCGACGTAGTGGGGAAGGGACCAGGGGGGGAAGAGGTGTACTTGACGGGGTAAGCTTAAGCTGCCTCCACAGGATACTGGCAACGACATTTAGCCCACTTTTTACGCAGCAATGGCCAAGGCGCACCCCAGGAATCAGAGATTGCAATTGAAGGAATGAATCCGTTCTCTACCTCTACCTCTACCTCTACCATCCACACCCAATCCTTCCTGCCAGCACAGGCCACCGCCCCCCTCCGGACTATATCCTCTTACCAGCCATTATCCTGCTGGGATCTGCGTTCAACTGTCAGTCAAAATGGGTTTCGGTTGCAGGTTTTTGGGGTCACCCGAACCCACCCGTAGCCGGACCCCCCGTCGGTGTTTCGGTGCTCCTCCCCTAATGCACGTAATACCCCAAACTCAAAGTTCTATCCTCGAGCTGTACGCTTGCCTTATGGCCTGGGCCAGCCCCCCGCCCCACCCGTTTAAGGATGCAGATAATGCTAATTAATTGTATTGATTAGCTCATTATATCATTAGCTGGCAACTGAGCGCATAGTAGAAGTAGTAGAATTTGCCCCCAAGCGCCTTTTGTATGTTGCACGTTGCATGAACTTCATCTACAGCTATAGCTGTAGCTGCTGCTGCTGCTGGTGCTGCTGCTGCTGGTGTCCTGCAACCGCAGCAACAATGCAGCCAGCCCCGTCTGTGTGTGTGTGTGTGTGCCTCTGCGAATGGAGAGAGCTACACATTCATATAAATAAACTTGTCTAAATTGCTGTTACCGCCCCAGGGCCATGGGCAAATTGTATGCAACACCAAAAACTTAGTGGAGAGGAGAGGACTGCTGGTGCTGGTGGTGTTGCTGCCAAGAGATGAAGAAGGGTAGCGGTAGAGGTAGAGTGGATTTACGGCCGGGTTACGGCCAAGAGCTCACTATCTTGGGGGCAGGCTGTGTGTGTGCGTCTAGCTCAGCTTGGCTCTGCCCTGCTCTGCTCTCGAGTGCATTGTTCAGGGCTCGTTCTCAAGTACAGTTGGTCATTTCAGGTTTAAGTTGTGATGATGCTGATGATGATGATGATGATGCCAAGACGAGTTCATTTTTCAGAGGTGTGATGTGAAGGAGCTGCTGGGATGTTCATTTTCAGTCGGTTGTGGTACTGAAACGAGATTCGGATTGACTGTCAATATGACTCAAGGCAGGTTAAGTGAATGAGTGCTTCAAACTTCAAGCTACATGGGAAATTATTTTTAATTTTGAAGCAAAAATAATTTTCACTTCAACAATTAATGTAATAAAAAACTAATATTTAATGTGCTGCAAAATTCTTTCATTTATTTACACTCCGAGAAAAGTGGCAGTGGCATAATAAACAAAAACAACAGAATATATAATTACTATTTGGTTCTTAAATAAAAAAATGTTAACAAATTAAATGGAATTAACTTTAATTTAGACATATAAAATATAAATAAATAGATATAAATAAAATATAAATATATATAAAATATAAAAAAGAAATATATTTTTATTACGACCCATATTTAAACCAATCTAAAAAATTATATATATAATAAATAAATATAATATAGTTTTAAATATTTTTTTATTTATGTCAAATTTTAAGTGAAAAAATTTTAATTTTGACTTGTCGTTGGTTGATTGACTCGTTGATTAGTTGGTGCAAATATAACAATTTTATTATCAATATTACAATTGCAGTGCTTTTTTCTCAGAGTGTGGGGGTGTTTGATTAAAAAATTAATTAAATTAAATATAGTCGGGCACAACTGTACTACTTAGAAATGTCTCATTCGCTTTTGTCACATTTAATCGATGTTAATTCTCCTACAGAAAATGTTGGCGTATCTAAATGTAAAGCATAAAGTTGCCTGAACACTCACAGAAACTATTTTCAGCCTTAAAATTTGTGCTCCTAATTGAACTAGTTCCCCGTGATCAACGCTCATCGCCCATTCAGGCACAACTGTACGCTGTGCTGTACGCAGTGTTGTGCTCATTCATTCATTCATTAGATCCTAGCTCAAGACTCGAATGATTTGTTTTTATTTTTGTTTTTATTTACTTTGCTGCTGCTGCTGCTTTTGTTGCCTTACTGACTCTTCCGGGAATGTCAGGTGCTGTGTCTCTCTGTCTCTGTCTCTTTCTCTGGCACTCTCCCTTTCCTGCTGCTTCGCCTGCTCTGCTTTGTTGGCCATAAAAGTTTGGCCAAGTTTTGGGTACAAGCTGCATCGTCGTCTGTCTGCAGCATCGTTAAGGCGTATCCATCATAATATCTATCAAGCCCCCGACTACCAGACAGAGGCAGCGAGAGCAAGAGAGAGCAGGAGAGCGTCATGCGAATAATTCATTTATATTAATACATCCTGCAGAGCAACAGTCAAACTGCACTGCAAAAGAGACAGACAGGCAGACAGACAGAGGCTAGGCCGAAGACGAAAAAGACAGAACAGAGGAAGGCTAGAAGAACTATTTCAATTTGTATTGCCAAGTGTCTGCATCTCTCTATTCCTTTCCCTCTCCCTTTCCTCTCTCTCTCTCTCTCTCTCTTTGCCTGCCATCTCTTTCTGCTGGTGATGGGTAATGTCTGTCTGCAGTTTGCAGTGCTCGACATTGCCCCGTCGACAGCTTAAAGTTTGAATTGCTGCACACAGAGTCGAGTCATAAGCCTGCCTGCCTGCCTGCCTGCCCTGCTTGCCTGCCTGCTCGGGCAACCTGGCCTGCTGGGTCTGAAGTGTGCCATCCCGCCCCTCGCCACCCCACACCGCATCAACGGTTTGTAGGACGTTGCCACCTTTTGCAGCTGCTTCCATGTGTTCATGGCGCAAATAATCGCCGTCATCAACAACAACACTGAACAGAGCAGATCAGAGCAGACCAGGCCAGGCCGGGATCCAGGACCCAGCAGGACCCAGGCAACCAGAATGATGCTGGGAGGGGCGGGATAAAGATGAGTTGAGAGACGTTGACGCTGACGCCATTAGCACCGAGTTTTGCAGCATCAACGACAAACTTTAAATTGTTGCGTCATTACAATTCGAGTTGTGGCAGGTCTGGGCCCCAGAGCCCAGTCCCCCCCACCCTCCTCCTTACCATGCCACAGGCCACAGGAGCAACAGGAAGCCCCGCGTGTGAACACTTGAGCCTAGCCCTCGGTCGGGCCAGCGGGCTGCTGCTGCTGCTGCTGCTGCTGCTACTCCTTGGCGGCACCGGCAGCGTCTTCATCCTCGTTGCTACCCCATGATTGATGTTACACTTTAAATTTAAGTTCCGTCAGTCAGACACTAATGACCAGGTGCCACAAATGGCTGCCGCCTGCTTTCCCTTTGTTGTGTGCATTTTTTGTTTATTTTTTGTTCTCAAACTGATTTCTCCAGCGGGGAATTTTCAGCATTTCCTAGACTTGCGGATTAGCCACACGAAAACTAGCCGGATAGCTACTTATACTTGGAGGTATCCATCCCACATGATGATGGAATAAAGCATTAGATTAAATGTGGAGAGACTGGGTCCCGCAGTTGAAGATATGCCCGCTGATTTGTAGTAGCAACTTACCCAGAGCTCACAAGAATATATTTAAAAAAGAGTAAAGGTAAAAAAGAATTACATACTCATTTAACGTGAAACTCCATTGGGATTTGAATCCGATGCAGGATGCAAAGGGCAGCGCTGGACTGTGTACCTCCGCACAGCTCTCAGCATCTGCAACCACACTTTAACGAGTACTTTGGACGTTAATGTTTGTTAAAAATATAACATCTGAGATAATATGAATAAATTAAATCGCGTATGTAATTAATACTAAGCTTAATGGTTGCTTAGCGAGCACCATTTAAGCCTTTTAAGACCATGAAAATGCATATTATGGTCACTCGCTGAAAGGTTTCCCCCACTCGCTAGAGTTCTTTTGCTAAAGGTGGGCGAGCAGGGTTAAATGTGCTACAATTTATGAGAATTAGTGTGTCAAATGCTCAGTCGTCCGCACATGACACATACGAGCGAGCGGCTGGCTTTTGAGCGCGCTCTTCTAGCTTTTGCTGCCTGCAGCCAGGCAGTACAAATCGATTGCCAAAAAATGTATGCATGCTACCCATCTTACTATTTTTATTTGGTTTGGTTCATCGCAGAAAAAAAAAACACTTAAATTCCAACTAGAATATTATATGCCATTACGCCTCTCCTTTCCCGCTTGGCCTGATTATACCAAAAAACGATTCTTAATATTATATTAAAATATAATAAAAACGAATAACGAATAAACCCAAAACTCACGCCGGATAACTGCCTTTTTGCCAATCGCCAATGCCAATCGCCAATGCCAATCGCCGCACGCAAAATGATTACAAATTAGCATAGAAATTTCATGTTTAACTAATTTCGGATGTGGGTAAAACAATTTGGTCGCACAAAACAGAAACAAAAGAAAAAAAGAAAAAAAAAGAACGACAGCGACAGCAACAAAAACGCAAAAATTATGGGAAATCCATTCAATTAACGCATAAACCAGGAGATTGCGCGGATCTACATAGGGGGGCGGGGGCGAGATAGGGCGGAAAATGTATTGATGTGGAAATGGGTAGAACAGCGACAGGATGGGGTAAGGGTGGGGTAGGGTTGGTAGGTAGGGGGGTGCACACATAAACAGGGGCGCATAAACGGCGCCATATAATCACTTCAATCACGTTTGCATAATTGTTCAATTATGAAGCAATTACCGCAAACGATGCCCTGAACTAAGGCTCCGGTCTCAGCATGGATACCGCTCTACTGCCTCTCTCTCACTCTCTCTCTCTCTCTCTCTCTCTCGCACACTCGTAAAGGACACTGGAGAATCGGCAGACCGCGCGAGTGTTATCAGTAATATGCCAAAAACCGAAAAATGATGGGGTGTAGGAGGGTGTAGGAGGGTGGCAGCGGACCATGTCGACACCAAAAATCATCATCCACACACATACACTCGCCGCTCCACCCCCTACACACTACAGCTCAGCTTGTATTGGTGTGTCATATTAATTAAGCGTTTGATTGCCAATGAAACGCACACACGCAGGCACACACACTCTCGGACAAACACACCTATAAGAACACACACACATAGAGGGACAGGCGATCAAACACACACACATATACACAAGTGTATTTACAGACGAGAGAATAAACACACACACGCACACACGCACACAGAAAGCGGACACGACGCAGACGGGCGGACATTTATGTGGCGGACACAGTTACAGACACCTTCTTACACACAGGAACCCTCGCGGACACCACACACACACACTCAGAAAGCACTCCAGCGGACACACACAAACAGACAGATAGTCGGACAGACAGACAGTCGGACAGACAGACAGTCGGACAGACAGACAGTCGGACATCCCATACGGATTCCGGGATTTGGTTCGATTTTCACCAATCTTTTTTCCCCACTGCTTTTTGGGGGATTTTTGGGGTTTTGCGTAAAAGGATGATGGGAGGAGGGCACGAAGAGCGGGGTGAGCGGGGTATAGCGAAAATCAGAGAAGGCATAATTGCATGCAATTTTTATCGCCGCGAGACAGATGTCGCTGCTGCTGCTGCTGTTGGTGCTGCTCCGCAAATGAAGCTCAATGACCATGATGATGATGATGGGAATGATGGGGCTTGCGGATGCGGTTAGGCAAGGGATAACGCACACACACACACACACACAGACACACACCGGTAGCCAAATCGGTTCGTAATCGGTTATGCAGCAGTTGATCAACTTAATAATTACCGCTTGGTCGGTCAGTTTTGAATGGGTACAGCAAATGCAAATAGCACTGGTCCTGCGAATGGATTTTTATTTTTATTTTTTTTTTGCGTACTTTTGCCAACCGTATTCCGTGCCGCTCAATACGCCGGGGTGGGTGGACAAACCTTTGATAATTATCAATAGAAAACACTAGGAAATGCTTTGCTTTGCTTTGGCAAAATTTCCGCTATGGAAATCTATGCAGTTCTATTTAGAATTAGCAAAGAAATGCTGATTAAACATTAGCAATAAAATTAAATACAAAATTTAAGTATTTTATTTCAAATAAATCAACAAAAAATGATTGAAAAAATCAAAAAATTAAGAGTAAATAATGCTGAAAAATCTGGAGCAGTTCCCCAACTTAAACACACAAAAAAAAATGCGTAAATTCCTATGCGAATTATTACGTATACGAATAATAATAATAATTGCACTCTAAATGATGCTCACCCCCAAAGAAATATTTTCGCTGATATCCAATTCGAATCAAAGCTGATTATTTTCTACACGAGACCTCAATTTTTGCTTCATCAATATTCCCTTTTTTCCATCAGCATTGCTAATGGTCTCAGCGGTGGTCTAGCCCACATTGATCATACGCCATGTGGTCGCTTCATTAGATACTGCGACACCTGCCCAACTGCCACCAGCCACCATCAGCATCAGCATCTCGTGTGTTATCAAAATTAGGCATTGGCATAAATTAATTGAAAGCCAGCCAAAGCAGAGCCAGAATGACTCCCTAAAAGACTGACTAACTGACTGACTGACCGACTGACTGACTGACTGACTGACTGGATGGATTGACGAACTGGACAAAATCTACTAAATGAGTGCTCATCATCAATTAACGTTGACAAATGGAAAAAAGCAAGACCCGAATGGAGCGAGAAATGAAATGAATGAAAACGAGCAGCTAATTGGCGCCCGGCTCAAACTCAAACAAAAGCCAAAGAAATGACAATAAAACTAGCTATTACGATGGCAACAGACACACGCACACACACGCCCTGGACAAGCGGACTACAAGCCACACGGACACACCGGGCTGCGGACACGGATACGGGCACGGCCAACGATATATCCTAACGAGGCTAAAAGCGGCATTAAGTATCAATCATACAAGCGGAGAGCCCAGCCAATGTGAGCCAAGCGAGCGAGCAAATAAAGTGCCCTCCTCCTTCACGAAACAGAGCAGCAGCAGCAGCAGAAAAAAAAGCAACAAAAATTCCATCCGTTCCCCTTGAAGAGGGACCAAAAACCAGGACACACGTGGTGTTGTCTGTGTGTGTTTGGGTTGGGTTGGGGTGTGGTGTGGTGGGGGGAGACTGTTTTTCGGCAGTGTGCGTGCGATTATCGGTCGCCCCCGTTGCTTGTTACACGTCTAATCTGTTAAATCCTGTTTGCCAAGATTACAAATCAATTGTGGCCAGCAAATAAAAACACATGTGGTTCCCATATCCTCAGCCCCCCCAACACCACCACCACAGTTTTTTCTTCTGGCTGCACAGTGTCCTGTCTACCCCTGGCAACAGCATCCCTCCCCCACCCCATAGAGCTGAAATTGTTGCTGTTGTTGGTCCCATCACTGATTAGGGTATTATAGGCTTTTTCGTGGCGGCCTAACACATGGTTTTTTTCTCTGCTTTTTATTCCCCTGCAGCCAGTCGTCAGTCTTTAAGGACAGCTTCATTGCTGTTTTCATGGATGGGGCTAAGCTCGGTTATGATTGGATCGGGTATAGGTGCCGCACCCTATGGAATATAGATTGCACAATATTGAGTCAGTTGAAAATGGGTTTTTGGGCCATTTCTTATCCATATAATTATTGTATTTGTATGGATTATGTGCTTTAATCCATCGTATCCATAATTCCACACAGATCTGTCTCTCCTTTCGTCTCGTTTATTGCCAAATTCTCAGAGACTATAAGAGCTAGAGAAATATAATTTTGTGTGCCAGCTTCTGTGATAAATATTACACTGGATGAAAGTTGTATCGCCCCTTCAAGTGGCTTAAAGCTACGAGAAATGAGCGCATCTACTATACCAGATGGAGAATAAAGCAGTACAATAATGTAGATATATATTCAACCCATTATTTGTGTCTGATATTGACCCCCAAGAAAGCACTGAATGAAGATGTGCTCCAGCCATGGCCTCACTCTGTTCGTTGCAGCTCGTTCATCTGCACTGTCAATTAACTTTGACTCTCACTCAAATCTGCTGTATGGGTA